ATTGTTCTATAATTGCTTTTTAAAATACCAAATACTAGGAGATATTTTTGATCTCTGAAGGCAGAAATATTCCATCTGTCATATCTGCCTGGCACCTAGTAGGCCAGCAGTAAAGATGTCTGTTTTGCATAAAGTTTCTAATTCTGGCTGAGATAAAATCACATCAGATTTACCCAAACTTTGGTTTTAATAAAAAAGCAGATTATTCTTTTGCTTCCTCACTCTCAAGAGAAAGCTTGAATGGCGGATGCCCACTCATAGAATTGCTTGGTGATGCCAACCAGGAGAGGCATTTTCACTTCCCAGTTTACAAGGGCACCCACATAACTCCCACTGAGCCTTGGGCACCTTTGTTAAAAAGAGTATGTGGTAGGCTTGCTTGGTACTTGGCCATACATCCACTTGGTTCGAAGTTCATAGAGTGATTAGCAGGTTTCACACTCTAGCAGACTTCAGGAAAGACGCAAAGCAGCATTCCCTGAGAGGTCGTGAGTGCCTCACCTTGGAAGGATGTGGGCTTCCCTGCCACTGACCTGTAGCCCAGCACTGTGATTAGGCCTACAGGAGCTGGGTCCTGGCCAAACTCCCTGTGGATTCCACTCAGGAATGTGGTATACCACACTCAGGAGACTGGCGAACTTGGAGTGAAACTGAGGGACACAACTATGTTGAGGAGACTGAAGAGATGTGGCAACTGTGTTGGGCTGGAGTGAATGCTTGCCACGTGTCCATTTCCGGTTAGGCCTGTTGTAGAGTAAAGAATCATTTGAGAGGAATAGCCTTCGTTGTTCAACTGAGAGGTTTCTGGATTATCTCATCACCATGGTTTGGCTGGTTACTAGTGAGTTCTATTTTTAGTCCCTGAGAGTGAAAGCAGGATCTTGGCACCAAGGAGGAATTTCCCACTCATTCCCCATTTAGGGAAGCATGTATCTCACGCAGGGCCTCAGCGGGGGCCTTGCAGATATTCCAATCATCCCTCCATGTCATCACCCTGGACCCAGTTCCAGCTGGGGAACAAACAGGAATGGTGGCATGTGAGCCTTTCAAGGGGACTCTTTGGGGGTAAGCTTATCCCTGAATGTTCACCAGAACCTATGAGCCTAGTGGTCCACCACTAGTTCTGGGACCCAGTGGGTGGACTCTACTGGGCCACAAAGAAAAGAAGGCTCACTTTGTGAGGCAAGGAATGTGAAAGGCAGGTCCCTTTAAGCTCACTTCCATCCTAAGGAGCAGTGTTCTTTGCACAGACTTGACTTATCCCGTTGCAGGGGAGAGCCCATCATTCTGGTTTGACTTGCAGAAAAAACAAAGGAAAGTCATTGATGCAAAGAAATCATGAACTGTAAGACCCAATATAATTTCAGAGGCAGGCACTTAAGGAAGAAAGTCTGCCACCAGACTGCACAGTTTGGCTGCGGTGAGCCAGAGCTGAGTGGCCTCTTTAGCAGAAATATATTCAGAGGCCAGCAGGAAAGCTGGGTAAAGTGGAGAGGAAAATCTCAGTCACTCGCCCTTCAGCAGTCACAGTCCCAAGTAGGCAATCCTGAAGAGTCCACACTCTGCAAATATACTTACTCGCTTGCCGCTGAGAGCTCCACATCGAGAACCAAGGTGTTGAGCTGTGTGTGTATGTGTGTGTGCTACGGGGCGTGTGAATACAGTCCTGGGTTTTTTGTTTGGCTTTGTGTTTTCATTAGAACAAAGTGGTCAGGAGCAGACACTGCCTCTCTCCCTGTTAAGCACGAAAAGCCTCATGATGTGAAGTGCTCAGTTCCAATCCAAGAATCAGTACAATTTATATCTTGAGGTTGCATTAGTATCAGCCAGTGTAGAAAGAAGAGTTGGTCAATGTTAGAGTTTGATGAAGAGAGAGGGCTCTTAATAAATCCAGTTTTCAACATTTTCTGGCCAGTTAAGAGTATGGTCCTAAGTCATAGAGCCTAGATTTTAGCCTCCATATAGGACATATTTGGGAGGACATTAGTCCGTGTTCCTCAACTGGGGTCCATATGGTTATCTGTGGGCCCCCAGGATAGAGTGAAGGCCATGGATGGAAAAAATCACCTTTAGAAGACCATGGTGCAAGACTAGGGGCAACTAATATTACAGGGAAATCATGGAGAGGATATACAGCCCAGAAGGGGGCCGCAGGGGGGAAAAGGTTGAGAAATATTGGTGTGAGACATTCCTGGAGGTATGACTGGAGCATGTCTGATAAGGGTTAGCATGAATATAGACCACTAGCCAGAGTCAACCAAGGTGAGGCACATTCCCTGCCCTTGTAGCCATCATGTTTGTTGTTTATCTTGGGCAGCTGACCCATCCTTGTTAAACCATTTGGTGGCTGTAGTTGGACACAGGTTCATTCTGTAAGCTATGCTTCAAAAGGGTGGGTCAAGGGAGGCCTCATTGGCTTTCTCCATCTTTCTCAGTGGCCTTAGCTGCTCCAATGGAGAGAGAGTACAGCCAGCATCTCTCTGCTCACTTGTTTTCTTGCTGTTTCCTCTTCTGCCTCTTCTCTCTTCCTATCCTATTTTTATTCTCTCACTTAATTCCTCTCTGTCTTATTACGTGTCTCCCAGAGCTAAGATGGGAGGGCAGACCTGGGGCAGAAGCAGCTTAAGCTTTAAAGATCTTCCTGAGTCTTCCCTTCCACACTCAACACTCTCCCCACAAAATGCCCTTCTTGCTGTGCCTCTGGCCACTTCTCCCTCCCCCCCAATTTCAATTCTTCACAGGGGAGACACATAGGGTGATGACTGTGTTCCAGGAAGTTGCAAGGCTAGTTGCAAGGATAGGAACAAGACGTGGGCTTGAATTAGAAATTATAGTGGATTTGTTTTTATAAAGTTCTGGCCATCCCCTGCCTGATCAGGGACTCAGTCTTTGCACCTTGCAGCTGATTGCAGCCTGAGAAGCATGCTCTTCACTTCTCTGACTGAGCTTAAGAATTCAAGAAGATGAGGCTGCAAAATTTTCTTTGCTAGTAAAAACAAGTTGGTTTTCCCACTAGTTTGAGATTAATTATGGTGAGCGCTAAAATTGGCTCCCTTTGGAATACCAAATTTTCTTAACTTTTATTAACACTTTGAATGTCAGCCAGTCATATTCGACTGCTGTTGGAACATGTATACAGTCCCTGTGACCCATCTCATCAGTACATTTTCCCTCATCTGAGTTCCCCAGGGGATCGAACAAGGAATGAACTGTAAAAATAAATAAATAAATAAAGCATAAAACTTAAAGGAACATTCTAAATCCACTGAGATAACTAATATGGAAAAGCTTGTATTATCACTATGGATGTTACCCAGTTGCAAGTTAAAGAACAGGAAAACATGGAAATATGATACTTACACACATAGAACCTGCAAAGTGTAAGGTGCTGTTCTAAATACTTAGCAAATATAAACTTACTTTACTCAGACAATGTGCAATGGGCCTGGCATAGAAGGAGCCTCACTTTGTGATTACATGCTCTGCTGTCTTTTCTGGCCTTTAAATTCAGGGAAGGATGCTCTGGGATGGAAAAGAGAGAGTTTCTGCAGAAGATGGAAAGGGTCTTCTCATCAGTGGTTATTGGTACATATTCTATTGGTTATAGGGCTGGAGCGATAGCACAGTGGGTAGGGCGTCTGCCTTGCACGCAGCCAACATGGCCGACCCGAGTTCGATTCCTCCGCCCCTCTCGGAGAGCCCGGCAAGCTACCGAGAGTATTCGATATGCCAGACACAGTAACAACAAAGTCTCCAATGGAGACGTTACTGGGCCCGCTCGAGCAAATCGACGATCAACGGGAGGGTCTTTACCTTTACCTTTTATATGGTACATGAACAAAGTCATCATCTAATAATTGTTGATATCGCTGAATTGAATGGCTCTCAGTTATTAGAAAAATGGTTTTATGGGGTGTAATGAACATCATTACGTTGCATAGCCGATGCCCTTGGATAACCCACATGCCTTCCCTCCACACAGCCTAGCACCCCTGGACCCAGCTCTAAATGCAGCAGACCTGGAGAAAAAAGTCTGACAATTGTCTAATCACATTAAACACAGGTCCTTGGAGGCATGGAAGCCTAGTCAGAGTTGGTTAATGACGAACAGTCACAAGGCCTGGTGATATTAATGCTGGATATTCATAGTTTTATCCAGTAGCCTACTACTCTATGGATCTGTTTGCTAGAGGAGTATATTCTATAGACTGACTGAGACTCTGAAGGCCCATGCTTGGGTATCTCTAAGTATGTCCTAGTTTTTAGTAGTTGTAGTAAAATCAAAATAAGTGTATATGTTTAAGTAATTCACTATTCCAGATTACAAATTCACTGTATCTCTTTTGCATCATATAATGTGTTTAATCGGAAAGCAGCTCAGGTACAAATAACGTTCTTAGCACTAAATATTACTTCAAGTGAGTTCTCCTTTTATTCCTTCTACCAATGCTGATAAATAGAACCAAAAAACTTGGAAACTTTAGTTTTATTACAAAAAGAAATGTTTCGTGTTAAGTTTCCGAATCATTACTTACTAGCTAGCTAATCTCATATGTATAGATCAAAGGGTAAGTTTAAAGGGACAGCTGGAAAAATAAGCATCCCCCCAACCCTTGTGAAAATTATGTCAGGGAAATTATGACATGTCAAAAATTTAATAATAGTGATAACAATGTTTAATAATATAATGATAGTCAGGGAGTGTGTAGGACAGAGATATGCAGAGAAGAATAGGACAGTATCTGCAAAAAAGCAATATTGACAAAAGGACAACTATAGGATTTATTCAGAGTCTCTTGCCAGCTTTGATTTGAATGTGGTGCAGATGAATGAGTCAGACTTGGCTTTGGAAGTTTCCGATATGCTTATATCAGAAAAAATATGATCCTATTAAGGGCTAGAATGATGAATATTTTCTTAGCCTGATTCATTAATTAAACATGTATGAATGCTTATCTAGCATCAAAGGGGACTCTTGGTATCCGTTTTGTGTCTTTCAGAATGAAAGTGCCGTTGTGAAGGGGAAAGAGCTGTCTGTGGAACTTGCAAACATCAGGGATGAAGTTGGTAAGTAGAACATTGGACACAAGGAGCGTAAGGAATGTCTTTTCCCAGTGCCTGTGACTCTGTCACAAAAGCAATTATGTCTCATGTAATAAGCCTTGTAAACCTGCTCAACAAATGAAGCCCCTTCCCCTGCGCAGTGGCGGCTGGCGGCCGCCTTGCGGGGCGTCATCATTTTGATGGCTTTTATTATGCAGACAGCCTCGAAAGAGCTCGCAGTGGAACTAATCAGGCCTTGACTCAGCTCACCGCAGGTGGCAGTTCATCTAGCCGTCTGAGTCGTGTGCTGACAGCACCCCTTCTTCCAGCAGCACCCCAGGGCTTGGACCAGGCTCCAAACCACACTGTGCAGCTTTGGTGGGTAAATGAAGTGGTCCCTGTAGGGACCCGTCATACAGGCTTGTCGCCCCCAGACAGCCTGCCTTGATGCACTCTGTGGCAGAGAATATCAATCTGGGTGGATTGACAATGCTGGGGTTATTGGGGAAATGCGACACCTTTGGCCAATAAGATGGTAATGTTCAGTGGGAATGATAAGAGATTTCACACATGCAGGATGCACCCCAGACCTGCAAAGAGATGGGATTTCCTGGAAACCACCAATCAGGTCACGTCTGTGTCATGCTCCTGGACCCCGTTACTCTCTGGAGCATCTGTACTTCCACTGTCCCGGGAGGAGTGAATGAAGGGGGGATAAGCAAGGCCTGCTCCCTGGCATCTCCCCTTTGACTCGTGCGGCCCTGATGCAGCCCACCATGTGCAAAGTGGCTCCTTCATCCACCCCTCGGCTGCCCCAGCCACCCTCATCTTCCATTGTCGAGGGCATTTTCCTCCAAGTGGGCCCTGCACATAGACACAGAAGCTCCCAGGGGCTCCAAGCTGTGGGTGCACAAATGTACCTCCTCCCTCTCCTTCCTTTATTTAACCTTTTATTACCCTTTGCTCTGAGTTCTGCGACTTCCTTCTGTGATTGAGAGTGGTCAGCAGTGACTTCTCCTCCCCACTGCGATCGTGCCCCATATAGAAGCAGGAAACTTCAGCTCTCCACTCCCACCTTCCCTTGTGCAACCGGAAGGGAGCAGCAAGCCTGACCTCACAGCAGGTGGTCTCAGCGTGTGACCCAGGTGTGAAAGGAACTGGTGGGCATGTCCCGTGAAACCATGGTCCCCTGAGTCTCTCCAAGAAATGCATGGGTCCCTCGGGGCTGCCACGACTCTGTGCTCACACATGGTCTTCAGAGGTGTTGAAGCACTCTGTCCCGCAGGTTCCATCTTGAGGAGGAGAGATGGCGAGAGCAGGTGGTGGCATAAAGTAAGCAGTTCTCATAGCTGCGGGGCACATGGAACCTGGAGGCTGCAGAGAGGGTAAAACCTCCTGCTTGCAGAGAATTTCTCTCCTGCGAGACAGCTGCAGTCTGTGTTGGGCAAGTCTTGCCCCTTCCATCCTGCTGGGTGAGCTGAGCTGAAAGCTAGCTCACCTCGTGGCCCTCTGCTTTCAGGAAGCTTCCGAGTGCAGCAGGAGCCACACAAGGATGACTATCAGGATGTGTTTTGTTTTTAAATCTGGTTCGCTTTGCATTGGTGCTAAGAATAGAAGCAGCCCTCTCCTGCCAAAGCTTTGGGGTGTAGGATGGACAGGAGGCCTTGGCAGCACCACAGACAGCTCTTTCACACCAACAGACACTGGAGCAGCGTTCCCTGGGCCCCTGTGGGCAGGGCATTTGGGCCGGGATCTGGAAGGTGCAAACTCTTGACCTGCTGTGTAAGGAAGAGGCAAATCTGACCGCTGGTCCTCCTCAGTCCTAGCTCCTTTCCTCAGCTGTGCCCTTATTTACCCTTTGGTTAGCCTGAGTCCACTGGGGCCTTTATTGATTTATTTTTGTTTTTGAGACATCCTCAGGGGTGCTCAGGGGATACTCCTGGCTCTGCACTCAGGAATTACTCCTGGCAGTGCACAGGGACCATAGGAGATGCCAGGGATCAAACCCGGGTTGGCTGCATGCAAGGCAAATGTCCTGTACTGTTGCTGTATTACTAATTACTTATCACTATTACTAATACCATACTGTTGCTCTGGCCTCAGGCAGGTGTTATTTCTAGAGGCTGTAAACTCAGACATGGAAGGAACGGAAAAACTGAAAACAGTCAGAGCGATTTAGGGACACGTGTTGCACAATCCAGAACATGGCTAACCTCTGCCCCTAAACTGAATGTGACTGCTTCAGCTTTTTCAGATTTGTAAAGATGTTTCAGTTCTTTACTTCTGCCAGAATTTGTCCCTCAGCAGCCGTCCACTGTCTGGGTCAGCATTTCTCAACCAGTGGCCGTGCTGTGGGCCCAAATCTTAGTCTAAGCTCCCACAGATGAAAGTCATGTCTGTGGGAGATGACCGCAGCACAAGACTAGGGACGCCAGTTGATAGGAAAGGTGGGAGGCCCAGGAAGGAAACAAGGGCAGAAGGGAGGTAGGGTCGGAAGCTCAACTCTCCAGGGTGGAAAGAAATTCCTTCAACGGATTTTAGCAGTTCGCCAGAATCAGCTTTACCTATGGTTCTTTCTTTTTATTATTTTATTTTAGGCGCCATTCATGGTAGGGTTTCATGCTTAAAGCATTCCAGCACCACACCCTGCACCAGTGTCTACTCCCTCCACCACTATCCCAGTGTCTACTCCCCTCTTCCCTCCCATCCTGTTCCATGCTCCATCTACTCGGTGCGGTGGTACAGCAGAGTGAGCATATTTGAGGGTGGAAACTAAGTCAGCCCTTTTTAATTCCCCAGATATTTTGTGGGAAGGGGAGGCATACCTGGCTTGCACTCAGGAACTGTTCTTGACCTTGTACTCAGGAATGGCCCCATCCCATGATTCTCAGGGATCAAATCAGGTCACAGCCAATGTAGCCACATGCAAAGTAAGTACCCTCACTCGAGTCTTATCTTTCAGACCCCAATATCCCCCAGCATTTTGAAGAATCACCTGAAGATCAATAAAGGACATCAGAGGAACAGGGGTTTGGGTGAAGTCACAAGGGAGGGAGAGTAGGTGAGTAAGGCCAGACCTGTGAAGTCATCACAGTAGCGGGGAGCTCAGGTGGTGGAGGGTCTGGAGAGAAATGCAGGTACAGGGCGCAGAAAGAGAAAGCACCAAAGGCCAATTGCTGGTTTAGAAATGACAAGACATGTCCAGATGTAGGAATGTGTAAGAGTCGCGTTTCTTCTTTTCCTCCCTCACCTCAGCCTTCAGAGGAGGCCTGTCAGTTCAGTTCTGAGTCAGCTCCAACTGAGGTGCACCTCCCAAGTTGGGAACCAATCACAGAAAATAATTCCCTAGTGATACACTCAACATTTTAGAATATGTCCACCTCTGATATCTGTGACAGAACGATGACAGAATCTTCTAGAAAGCTTGTGCCTTGACTAGCACCCCTTGCAGAAATTTTTCTATGTGTTGTCCCACACTGAAAATCCTCAACAAGAGTTTGAGTAGGACATTCTGACCATTGATTTATAAGTAAAATTACAGAATATCTCCTAGCCAGTGATGTTTCCTGAGACCATCTTTGATATCAGATATGTGATAATTTTTCCACACCAATAGCCAGTTCCTGAGGCCAGCCTGGAGTCCAATGTGTCTATATGATTTTGACATTGATGATCTAAAGTTAGTCCCAACCCCACATCCATCTCACCAGGCTGCCCCCACATCAGACAGCAGGTGCAAGCCCCAGGGGACACCCATACCTCCTTAGTATTAAAGTGCAGCTGAGTAAATCGAGAGGTATAATTGAACAATTATAAATAACGCTTCTTATTGAACTTTATTAAACAATTCATGAATCTGGCAGCATCCTACCTAAGAAATAATAAGGAACTCCAAGATACTATAAATGGAAGGTTCTTGTACTTAGAAAGAGGGTAAGACTAGAAGAAAAAAATTTTCAGGGGGGTGAGAAGGTGGCAAGCTCCTGAGCTCAATCCCTGGCACTGCATGGTCCTCATGGTGTGGCCCTTAGCAATGTAGGCTGGGGCCCCAGTGGACCCAAGCACAGCCCACAGAGAAAGTTAGTGGGTCTTTTATTTCCCCCACTTTATTTAAACACCATGGTTTACAAAGTTGTTCATGATGATTTGTTACTGGTTTTCAATATTCCAACACCAATCACACCACCACTGTCTCCTTCCTTCCACCACTGTCTCCACTTTCCCAGCCACTACTCAAACCTGCCCCCATAGCAGACCCACAATAATTTATTTTCTATTGCTTGTTGCCACTAAATGGCTAACGGTAAAGGTAAAGGTAAAGGTAAAGGTCCTCCCGTTGATCGTCGATTTGCTCGAGCGGGCCCAGTAACGTCTCCATTGGAGACTATGTTGTTACTGTGTCTGGCATATCGAATACTCTAGGTAGCTTGCCGGGCTCTCCGAGAGGGGCGGAGGAATCAAACTCGGGTCGGCCATGTTGGCCGCTTGTAAGGCGAACACCCTACCCGCTGTGTGATCAAAATATATTTCTGTAGAAGAAAATTTGTAAAAACTTTTGTACCTCACCATGGGGACATAAAGTCCTCAGCTGTTGTTGTTTACTAAGCTGTTGTTGCAAGTTAAGCCTTCTGTATTAATATTTTTGTTAGTCAACATTGTTTGGATTCTGCATTACATCACGTCCAATTTAGTGTGTTACTACTGGAATGTCAGTGTTGGAGAGTTTGGAGATGATGGGCCTGTTAAGTACTTGAATGGAAGGCTGTGCATCTTATACAGATTACTTTCTCCTGCTGACCAGAAAATTCCAGATTAATTGGTTTAAAAGACACCCCTGTCACTCGTGAAATTCAAAGTGTTTCCAAAGTTCAATGCCAAGATCGAGACAAAGACCAATAACAAAGTTCATTAGTTGCCCCAATACAAAGAATGGTTTATCCAGTTTATACAGTTACTACTTTGTAGGAACAACAACATATAGCATTTCAGAACTGGTCCAGATCTTAGTGAATAAATAAATAAAA